AAGACAATAAAAAATGGAAATAGCAATTCTAAATTAATATAAAAAAATGACAAGGAATAAAAATAAACGAGGCTAAAAAAAATAAATCATAAAAGAAAAAAAAATCATCCTATATAAACGAGTTAAAAAATAAGTGAACAATAAAAGTAATAAAAAAAAAATCCTATACCTAAAATATTAATCCACCACTTTTACTCTTTTTTTTTTATTTTTTTATTTACACCCATCCCTATTTTTTTCCTTTTTCCTTCTTATTTTTTTCTTCCCTAACTCTATTTTTATTTTTTCTTTTCCCCTTTTTTTTTTTTTTTTTTTTTTGCATCGGGCTAGGCTTGGCCGAAATCAGTCCAGCCCACACGCGTTTTCTTTGCCCTTTTTCGTCGGGCTGAAGCCCGAAACGGACCCGAGTAATCAACTTGGACAAAAACGGATCAAACACTTGAAACAACTCTCCCTCTCTTCCGTTCTTAGTTCGTTCTTTAATTTCTCTCTCTAGTTCTTCAAATTTCCCGAAATTAAACCCCTTCTCAAGCAACGAACTCAATCACACACGCACCTCAACTCAAGATAACAAGTAAAACATCTAGATTTAAAGCTAACAACAAGAATAAAAAGAAAGGGAATCAAATTCGGGGGCTCACCCGGAAATCTTCCTAAGAATACCAAAATGAACCCGGAAAAATGCGAAAGAAATCCTAAAACGCGAGCACCAAGGATGCTTGTTCCTCACGAATTTGTTGATATCTCGCCCTCGATTTCCTTTCCTTCGCTTTAAGAACCAAAAACTTCCTTGAATCAAAGTTAAAAATGTCTCAAGCCGATTCGGGTTGAAGAACACAAACCCGAAATATGAACTTGCAACCCAAAACCTAGAAAAATGCGAGTGATCAAAACTAAAAATTAAGCCTTTTGTTTTTTATTTTTGAAACCTCTCTACCCGAATTATTCACCCAATTTTTCTCCCCCTTCTTTCCGTGAAAATCAAACGTTTTATAGCCAACAAATTTTCGAAAATTGAAACGAAATCCCCGAATTTTCACGTCAATAATTTTCCTCTTTAATTCATGATTAATTGTGAAATCAAAACAGGAAATTCTCATTGATTCCTGTTAGTGTTGGTTTTGGCAACAAAAGCCATAATTAATACACAATCAAAAACACGAAATTCATGGAAGATTTGGGCAGATTCTCCCAAAGATTTTCGGAGAGAATTTGCCATGGAGCGAACGACGGGTCGTTGGCTCCATTTCGGTCCTGTCGTTCACTCCAAACTTTCGGCTTGGTCCTCGAGTTTCGATTTCAGCAATTACGCCCCTCCGTGAAATAATTTCGGTGTAATCTCAACGATTAGGTCCCTAGAGGTGCAATTTAAGGCCTAAACTTTTCAATTGACTCGATTACACCCCTAATTACTTCAATTGCACCCCTAAATGAATTTTTTTTTCATTATTTTCTCTCTTCTTTTTTTTTCCTTAATAAACTTCAAATAAAAAACAAAATAATAATAATAAATAATAAATAAATAAATAAAAGTAAAAAGTAAAATTAAAATTAAAAGAAAAAAAGAAAAATTTAGGTTATTACAATAACACTCTTTTATCAATCGATTGCAATGATTCTCAATCCAAATACGAACGAAGTTTGTAGATGAAATCATCAAGGCAATGAAAGTTGAAATCATCGAAGAGTTTTAATTCTGTTCCAAAAACACAACTTTATTTTTATTTATTTTATTAATTAACTATATATATATTTTTTTTGATAAGTTGAAATTATCTTAAAAAGGAGAAAAATGGACTAAATCCACTCTAAGATAAGAATTATTTGAAAACATACAATTTCCAAACATAATATATATATATATATATATATATATATATATATTCAAACCTAACAGAAAAGGCCATCCAATTTGAAGCCATTGCTGCCCATAACAAAATCTAAATTAATTCCAATACTAAGCAAACTTTATTGTATAAAGAGCTTCTATTTTTAATCATTCAGGATAAAATTTTCAACTTGTTTTTCTCTAAATCCATATATGATAACAGCAAGACGAGCTACCATGTTGATCGTTCATGCTATTGACTGTCACAAATGGGATCATTATTTTCACTCATTTTGAAGATGGAGAGTCACATGATCAGAAAATCTTGCATGTCAAATTGTTGTACGTTTTGATCACATTTAAACTTTTATCTCTCTTGCATAATTTCTGATCTTGTTCCCATTCTTCGTAATTACTTGATAAGATTGTTAGGTATACTTACCGAGAACGACAAACGAAGGAGGTCTATCATCAACATGCATGAATGCAACCACACAACAGTTTTTTTCGTCCACGGACACAACTTAATTAATTCGTCCATTTATCAAGACTATCATATATATATATATATATATATATATATATATATTATATTTTATGTGTTTTTTCAGTAAATTTATTAATTAGTTAATTAACGATTTTGAGCATCTTTGTGTATTTTGATAGGTGAAACCAAAGAACAGAAACAATGAAGGCGTTGCTTCAGCTAACAATATGGGCTTGGTTGACTCTCATTATTGTGCCGTTGGCGTGCCCATCAGTAATAGAAGAAACAAAGGAACCACCCCGATACGAAAAAGTAACCTTTAACTTTGAAGCTGCTGACTGTACAAGCTACTTGAAATCGGTGGAAACTGATCTGCGAGACAAAGTCAGAAGCAAGGTGGTGCATGGAATACCAGTGACAGCGAAAACAGTACCAATTTCCGAACTATTTGTCTTAGTTGATCTCATATTTGAAAGAGAAAAGTTCATCACACTAGCAATAAATGTCACCAATAGGTATTTGGTGGGTTATTGTGATAAGGATGATAAAGGGAAAGATCGCGCCAATTTCCTTAAAAATGCTAACAAAGATGCTGACAAAGTTGCAAAAGATAATCTTTTTAAAGAAGCACAAGTAGTTATAACAACTGAATTTACATGCGACTATCTAGGTCTTGAACGTTATGCCGAAACTGGAAGAAAGAACATTGAATTAGGAGTTTACAAACTAGATCAAGCCATCAGGTCGGTCTATGGGAAATCGGAAGAGAAGAAAAAGGCCGAGACGAAGATTGAGGCTAAATTTTTCATTATTTCCATCCAAATGGTTTCAGAGGCAGCAAGATTCCAATACATATTGAATAAGGTACTCCAAGGAGGCATATACGGAAGTTATAAACCAGATTATAAAGCGATTTCCTTGGAGGCCAGTTGGGATAAGATCTCTAAAGCTATTCAAACTGCTGATGCTTCTGGAAAATTTTCTTCACCGATTATTTTAAAGGATGAACATGACAAAACATGGACAATTAAGAAAGTGAGTGACATAAAGAAGGACATGGGACTTTTGAAGTTCTTGAAGACTCCAGCAGGCCAAGCATCTCAGTTTTCTCAACTTATGCAAATGGCAGATATCTAATATTTATCTTAACTAAAATGGCCACGAAATATGTTATATTATTATTATTATGAAACAAGTGATGTGTAATCTTGTCCCCAATGAGTTATAGCTCACTTGGCATTAGTGTCTTTTCTATGTTTTTAAGAGAATTCTAGTTTGAATCTCTCTTATAAAAATAATCTTGCTGTGAAAACTATGTAAATAGAATAAAAGCAAGTTATATAATATCCTTTTTCGTATATTTAAATGTTATGTCTCTGATCGTGGCAATATTAATTTGATAAAAATATTCTTAAATTTTGAAAAAACATTTTCTATTAAAAGTACTTTTTTGGGAGATATTAATAAATTATATTACCTAACATGGGACTCGATCCTACTTTTTATGAGTAAAGGATTGATATTTTTAAATATGAACATTGAATTTTTTTTTTCTCTTAACAAAGAAATTAAATTATGTATCTACATGATGCCCTTACGTACCGTACGTATATATATATTGATATATATGTGTGTGTGATTAGATAAAATAATACTTTTGTTATTTTATTTTACTGAGTTTGATATTTTACAAATTATAGTTTTTTTTCTAACAAAAAATTCTTTTTTGTTTTCTTCATTTATTAGAGTATATGCATCACTAAATAAACTTCTGAGTTATTTTTACCATCCCGAAACATGTGCATGATAATCGAATTTTTATTGGGGTCCTCTAGCTTTTCAAATTTCTGAGTAGAGCCCTCTAGCTTTTCAAATTTTGTTTGGAAAACCTTTCTCTCTTTGTCATAACCCAAAATTTTTTCATATTTTGTTTCTTTTATTTGTTCCTTACTTTTTATTTTATTTTATCTCAGTTCACTTCATTTTTATATTTACTACAAAAATGAAAAAAATGAAAAAAGAAAAGATAATACAAAAAAAAAATACAAAGAAAAAATGAAAATACAAAAATGAAGAGATTTTACATCCAAGGGTGCTATTGAACTAAATGTAAAGGTAATTGAAGTAACTGGGGACCCAATTGATACAATTGGATTTACAAAGGCTAAAATTGCTTAACCATAGAATCCAATTGATAAAATTCAATTTACAAGGACTGAAATTGCATAAAAAAGAGAATGATTTTAGGCAATCGAAATTCGAAGGGACCAAAGTGAAAAAAAACCAAGACCAATCAATTCAATTTTTCTCTGCAAATTCGTTCCTACACTCAACAATTAATGTTGATATTGTTGCACACTGCATGGACAAAAATCCCTCTTTTTCTGCTGATTTGAATCCACAAATCACGTTGGATTTTGCAGCAAACCCATGCTGCTCCTGTTGTAGCAGCTTTCTCTTACTGATTGATGTCGGACTTTAGCTTATAAATAGGGGAAAGAAATCAATTTGAAGGGTGGGAAAAAAGTGAGAGAAAAATCTGGATTGAGAGAGAGTGAAAAGAAAAGCAAAGAGTTGAAAAATTCAAAAATTTGGGTGTCAGCTGTTGGGTTTTCTAGGTTTGTGTTCTTGGGGTTCTGGGTTTTTGTTCATAATCTGTCAACCCCTTTTAGTTCTTTTTTTTTTTTTTTTGTGTTTATCTGGTCTAAATTTCGATCTTCAAAGCTTTTCTCCATCTCCTTGTTTGAAATTCGAGGTTAAATTCTTTCATTTTTGGTTTTTGTTCTTCACATTTCTAGGCAGCCTTGCATTGGTGCTTGAATTTCTGGGCAGCTACTGCTCATGTCTTGGTTTTCGTCGGGCTGGTTTGATTTTCGTCATTCCCTGGGTAGATTGAAGGGTGTTTAAGTTTGTTTTGAGGGAGATTATCATTATTTAGGTGTAGTGAAAGAGAAATCGAGGGTCAAGAGTCAAAAAATCATGAGAAATCGTCACTTGGGGTTCGTCATTTCTGGGTTCTTTCTGGGTTTCTGGGTTTGCGTCAATCGGTGTTCTTCCCATTTCCCAGGTCAGCTCCTGGATTTCCTAGCTTGATTCCAGACATGCTTTAGTTTTAATTATTTGTTTGCTATTTCGTGCATATTTTAGATTGTGATTTGTTTAATTGAACCATTTCCCCGAAAGGAATCCTTTGTTTCCTGGAAAATCTGAAGGACTAGAGAGAGGAATTGAAGTACGAGAGAGAGAGGGTCAAGAAGCCTTTGATCGAAAATTCGGAAATTTATAGCCCTTGGACCTGTTTCTAGGCTTGAGCCCAGTTAGAGTAAAAGAAAATGGGGTTGGACTGATTTCAGCATAGCCCAGCTAGTTCCGCAAACAAAAAACAAAACAGAAAAAGGCCGGACTGAGCCTAGTCCAGCTCAGACCCCTTTTACTGAATTTTTTTTAAAAAAAACGAGAAGGCATGGAATCAGTCCAGAATTCTCCCTAAAAAGGAAACAAGAGAGGCTGGACCTCCAACCTCTCCCCCGCAATAAATAAATAAATTGATTTTGACTAATCAGTCCAGCCCAAAAAAAAAAAAAGTTATTTCATCTAATCGTGAATTTATTTTATATATGTTTTTATTTTATGTTTAATTGTTATTTTAATGTTTAAGTTTTCTTTATTTAATTAATATAATTGTGGATTTTTTTATTTGTTTAATAATTAGACTAAGAAATCAATAGGTAGATGATTATCAAGTCTCTTAATTTTTTAAGAACCTATGATGATTTTTCCATAGAGAAAAAAAAAGAAAAACAAAAAAATATTAATTAAAATTTTTAACGAAATCTCTTATTTGATAGAGATTGTCGTTTGACGAAAAATAATAAAAAAATTCTTAACAAAGTCTTCTATCTAATAGGAATTATCGTTTGATAAAAAATAAATATATTAAAAATTCTCAACGAACCTTTTATTTGATAGGGACTATCGTTCAATAAAAAAAATTAATAAAATAAAATTTTTCAACGAAGTCTTTTATCCGATAGGGATTGTCGTTTGATCAAAAATAAAAATATAAAAAAATTATTAACCTAATCTCCTATTTGATAGAGATTGTCGTTAATAAAAAGAATAAAAAAAAATAATAAAATTCTTAATAAAGTTTCATATCCGATAGAGATTATTGTTATCTAAAAAAAATGAAGTTCAAATCAAAAAATAATTTGACAAAAATAAAATATTGTAGGAGATGAATTTAGAACTAAACTAGAAATGGTACTCATCTTAGGAAAGAGCGTCCTTGTAGGATCAATATCTTTTAAAACTCGTAACTAACTTTTTACCGTAGAGTCTCTCAACCGAGTGTTCATTTTAGGTTCCTAATTACTTTAATATTATGTGACGACTCCATTTCTGTAAATTCAGTAAACAAAACCATAAATCTAAAACCAAAATATTTTTACTTTCTTGGGAGTCCGATCCGACATCGGGTAGCGACATCTCTCATGGATTACAATACAATTGCTAAATCAATTTTTTTCCCCTAATTTCTCTATAATTTTCAATAACTTTTTAGATCAATCTCTTCTCTTATCAATGGATTAAAATGATTCTTAATCTACATAAGGAAGGCAATGAAGGTTTTTAAATCAAAGAGGTTTAATTCTATTACACGCACAATTTATTTTTATTTATTTTTTGACATGTCAAAATTTAATAAAAAAGATTTTAAAAGGAAAAAAAAAAAAAAAGGACTAAATCCACTGTATAGTATGATAAGGACTCAATAAAGAATTATTTGTAAAAACAGTTCTTTCTTAACCAAAAAATACAATTTCCAAACTTTATATAGTGGGCTATCCAACTTTATTATTACTATTAAAAACAACTTTGTCATTCTACACTATCATCAGTATAAGTTAATCAATAAAGTACTAGTCAATGTTTATTGTCTAACTATTGTGATACTAAATTGTTCGGAAAAAGATTTAATTTCCATCCACGTTAAATACTGTCAAAAAAAAAACTGATATTTTTTTTTTGTAATTATTTATTATTACTATTAAAAACAAGAAGGTCCAAAAACTTTCTGGAGTTTGTGGCACAGGTTTCTTGATCGATGGCTGCTCCTGCTAAAACTTCAAATAAGAAGCAAAATCAGTATCATGCACCTAGTAGAAAAAGGTCAGAATCGTTCTGTTACAGTGGAGGATGATGGTTAGCCCATGACTAAAACCTGCTCTAGCTTTATGCCATAGATTTGTCCAATAATAACCAACAGAATTTTATACACCTAAGGGATCCACTCAAGTACTGTTGGATTGAATTCATATCAGGAAATGCCAGCAGATTTCTAATCGAACAAGATCAGAATGCAATCTTCTTCTATAAAAACCATCAGGAACAGACTTGAGCTTGCAACGATATTCTAAAATGAATAATGATTGAAGAAGAGAAGGCAGCAATTCTCCTCCTCCACATATAAATCATCATCACCAACAAAGAAGAGAAGCTCCTTAATTCCAAAACTAGTTATTCCACACCCATCAATGCTTACTCTTCTGAGAGATTGCACAAACTAACGGAAGGAAAGAATATGCAATTCCTCCATAGCAGTGCAGTGTTTTATGCTTGGAACCGACGCCAGATTATGACAATAACATATGCTGTTGTGACATTGACAACTTTGTTATGCAAAAGTTCTATATATTATAAAAAATCTATATGATTCCCAACTCAAAAGGTCAATGGTCATTGTTTTGTAGCCAATAATTAAGGATGGATTATCTTTATGGTGTTGTCCTTTAAGATTGTTTAATGCCTAACTTGAATAGTGGATTTAACTGGTTAATTTAGTTTTATGAATGCATTAAAATATCTATAACTGACTTAATTTGCCCTAGCACCTACTTCACAAAGTGGTTTTGATTTCTTTTTAATATTTATGACAAGTAATGCTCGATCCTTGTGAGATTTATTATTGTTTTATTATATATTTTTTGTTTTAAAAAAATTGTTTTAAAACTAAAAAATCTATTAATTACTATGCTATTTCAATATTATTTTTTCATACTTTCCTAAAATATTTATTTATTGAAAATTGTATCTAAACAATCTTTTACAAAAATAGATTTTAATAAGAGATATTTTTGAAAAATACATGCACCACTTAAAGTTTTTTTTTTTTAATAAATAGAAATAAAAAGATAGATTTTTTTTTTAGGACAAAAAAGGGTATTAAGGACCAATCCCACAAAAATATACAAACTTGATTGGCAGAGATTCGGAAATTTTTTAAAAGATATTATAGCAAATAAGGCCTTCTTTCTCCTGCTCAGCATCTTCATCAGGACGGGACAGTGCATTATCCTGACTCTCTTGGCTGTCTTGGAGTTTTCTATATATGTTGATTCTCTCCATCAAGATTCCACATGTATTCATGTTATTGACCCACAAAATTAACATTAATTAATTATAGTCGTTGAGTATAATAATTAGCAAGCAAGTGGGGGGCTTTGTGCTTTTTGTTCTCATGGTAATTAAGACAAAATAATAGTTATTTTATGCATACTAAAGAAAAATTTTAAAATACCTTAAGAGCATCTATCAATTTTTTATAATAGTTATTTTATGTATCTATTTTTTTTAAAAAAATAGATAAAATAAATGAATAAATAAAAATTACTCTAATTTATTAAAAATGGTAAGAATATTTCTACATGTGCTTGGATGTTTAAAGTATATTAAAATCGTTACTCTTATGAATACCATTAAAATTCTCACTATCAAGCTAGTCCATCAATTAATTTTAAGCAACTTGCAGTTGTTTTCATAATCTTCTCCCATTACTTTAATCTCTTAATTAGTGGAAAATGGCAAGTGAAGCAAGCTGTGTATTGTTCATATTTCAGACAAGATTGGATCACAGGATCATAAGCACTAACCAAATTGCTAATATAGGAAATAATCAATGTTTAGCAATTTGAAATGTTTTAATCAAATGCCACGTAGTTGCCATGCTTTGGGAGTAGGGTTTTGGTCCTCTTTATTTCGGCCAGAACCAGTTATACTGATTATTTTTGCTTTCCAAGCTCCCTCTCTATATATATTTGATTAATTTTTTGTTAGTTACTGATTTAATTTCGATGATTAATCCAACTAATTCCCTTGCTGGCCAACCTAGGAATTACGTAAACGAGTTTTTTTAAGTAAATTATAAATCAGCCTTTTTATTTTTAATAAATGAATTACTTATTTTTTTCTTATTTCAAAAATTAATTATTTAATTCCTTAACTAGTGTTAATCTGTTTAATTTAATATTACTTTATTTAAAACAATATCACATTTTTTATCCGCCTTCTATATTTTCTACTTATTTGTAAATTTTTTATTTCTTAAAATTATATAAAAAAAAAAATTCAAAACTAGAGAGAGTAATTTATAATTTATTGATTTTTTATTATAGTTGAGATTGAATTCTATTCAAAATATTTAAATTTTATACTAGATGACTCATTTTCAATTTCGATCCCCTGTTATAGCTATACTATTGTTTATTTGAACGTGGCTAACAATTCAAAAGTATTCCTACCGTTTATGCTCGATCTAGACCGACGCATATCAAATAAATACATAGGTACAAAATATAAAAAGATTATGCATGTAAGGACTATAGATTAGGCAAAGATGATAACATAGAAAATAAAATAGCCAATTGGTCTTTAAAAAGTCCTTGACCTATTGACTTTTATTGACATTTTAATTTTCCCACCATATAATAATAATAAAAAAAAATTTAGTCTATTATTACCAACGTCATTGACCAAAAGTTCCTCATGAACTTTTTATTCAAAAATAATAACATTATATAGCATGTGAATTACCCTTAACCCCAAATTTATTTTAAAATATTAAAAATAAAATAAAAAATATGAAGCCTAAAGCTAACTACCCTAGATTCCCATTATATTAAATTTGTAAATATGGCAATATCATACCAATCTGATTTAAAATATTTCAGAATAAATTCACAAACTTTCAATCATTTTTTTAAAAATTAATCTATGCCCAAACAATTGATCTGGATAAACCAACCCCAGATACAATTGGCTACATACAGCCGTTCCCCACTAGAGTTTGACAATATGAGAGGCCGCATAGTCATTTTTAATAATAAGAAATTAAATGACTTGGTCATGATGTCCCATGCTATGATGTACTTGAGAAACCATTCTCACTCTTTCTCCAACTTCTCATATTCTACTTCGCTTCTTTCTTTGCTTTTGCTCATACTTCCTCTGCAACTTCAATATTTGGTAGTACTGTGGCCAAATCAAAAGTTGCTCGAGGTGATTATAAAGAAGCTGAGGCTCTTGTCAAATGGAAAGCAAGTATTGATAACCAAAGCCAAATCACTCCTTTCTTCGGCAGCAGTCCTTGCCAAAAGTTGATCGGAATCGCTTCCAATAATTTTAGAAGCGTCACCTATTTGACACTTGAAGATTTTGGTTTGAGAGGTACGCTTTATAACTTTAAATCTCATACTTTCCAAATCTTTTAATTCTTGAGCTGGGGGTTAATTTTCATTGCGAAACCATTACATTGCATGTTAGCAACTTGTCTAAAATTACTGATCAGTTGGACTTGTGTGATAATTATCTCACTGAAACTATCCCATCTGAGTTAGGATTCTTGAAAAATCTCAACATCTTACACGTTTATGTATATCTTTTGGTGATTGCATTAAATCACGCACAAACTTACAAGCCTGTGGAAAATGGAGAAAAAGGACACTAGATTTTGACTAACTTATGAGCCTGTGGGAAGTGGAGAAGAAGGAGAAGCATGGCTATATACATCCATTCCCGACCACTAGACATACTTTGGCAGTTGTCACGATAACAGTTTGTCGGTTGGTGAAACTTTCATTGGATAATCTTGTAGGTGCATGTTATAAAGCAATTATAGAGAGAGCCCACATGCTACAATTTGTTAACTATTGAAAACATTAATAATTATTCCTGCAATATTTTGAAATTTCTGAATTTTGATAGGTGAAACTAAAGAACAGAAATAATGAAGGGAGTTTGGTGGATTGTCGTGATTGTGGCAGCGTTGGTGTGCCCATTAGTAATACAAAAAACAAAGACACTCCGTTACAACACAGTAACCTTCAACTTTGAAGGTGCTACCGAAGCTAGCTACTCGGCATTTGTGAATTCTCTGCGAAATGAAGTCAAAAGCAAGGTGGTGCAAGGATTACCAGTGACAGCGAAAACAGTACCAGATTCCAAACGATATGTTTTGGTTGATCTCAAAATTGATAGTCAAAAGTTCATCACACTAGCAATAGATGTCACTAGTATGTATGTGGTGGGTTATCGTGATAGTTATGCACAGAAAGATCGCGCCAATTTCCTTGCTGATGCTCCTGAGGTTGCAAAAAAGAATCTTTTTAAAGAAGCAAAAGAAGTTAGAGTAACTAAATTTACAGGCAGCTATCCAGATCTTGAACGTTATGCCAAAACTGGAAGAGAGAACATTGAATTGGGAGTTTACAAACTAGAGCAAGCCATCGAGTCGGTCTATGGGAAATCGGTCGGGGAGCAGATTGAGGCTAAATTTTTCATTATTTCCATCCAAATGGTTTCAGAGGCAGCAAGATTCGAATATATACTGAAAAAAGTACTCGAAGGAGGCATATACGGAAGTTATAAACCAGATCCCAAAGCGATCTCATTAGAGACCAGTTGGGATAAGATCTCTAAAGCTATTCAAACTGCTGATGCTTCAGGAAAGTTTTCCTCACCAATTATTTTAAAGGATGTAGCTGGCAAAACATGGACAGTTAATCAAGTGAGTGACATAGCCAAGGACATGGGACTTTTGAAGTTCTTGGCGTAGACTCCAGCTAGCGGTAACAAAATATGTAATATTATTATTAAGAAATAAATGATTTGTAACCTTGTTGTGAAAGGTCAATAAGCCGTAGATCAATTGACATAGCTAAGGACATGGTACTTTCTAAAATTTTGTTTAGACACCCTTTCTCTCTCAGGACTACTGAAAACAAAGTTGCAAAACTTGTCATTTTTGTAAGTTTTTAGATCAATTCTCCTTATCAACGGATTAAAATGATTCTTTCTCCAAATAAGTACCAAGTTCGTAGATGAAATCATCAATGGACGGCAATGAAGGTTTTTAAATAAAAAAGGTTTAAATCTGTTCCAAGGAAGCAGCCATGAAATACCATCATCAACAGTAGACAAACTTGGCCTCTACGCTTCCCCCGTAGGGGAGACAGCCTCCCTTCCCCCGCCTTCCCTTAGACCAACACCCCTATCTCTACTATCACAACCTTTTCGATCATTTTTACTACTACTTCCAGTGATGAAATCCTTCTTTTTTAATAATTATTACTTCTCGTGTTACAAATCAAAATTTTTTATTTTTTGTTAATATTCAAAACAAATTATTAGAATTAAAATATTATTTTGATTCGTTAATTTTTATTCTGATTCCTTTATTTTCATTGTGAAATTTTCATTTTTTTTAATTACTAAAAACGGGCATAATTCAAGTAGTAGTACCGTTATGATGAACAAACTCGTTGTCATGGACTCGGATGACCATTGCTGTTAGCAAGAGGCCCATTGCTATTACCAGCCTTGAAGTCCACGATTTTCCTTTGAGATGTATTCAAATGAAAAATTATAATTTCGGATTGTTATCAGATTTTTTTTTCTTGTTACAGAACTCCAATTATTATTTTTCGTTGACAAAATCTAAATCAACTCCAAAACAAGGCACATTTTTATTGTATAAAGAGCTTCTATTTTTAATCGTTGAGGACAAAATTTTCAATTTTTTACCCCAAAATCCATATATGATAAAAGCAAGATGAGCTGCCATGTTGATTGTTAATGGTATGGACTGTCACAAATGGTACTACTTAATGTTCATGCTATAGAAGTTACCATCTTGCTTGTTCTTGATGGGGTTGAGGAGTGTTGTAATCACATGTTTAATCTAGTTTATGTGGTTTCTTAACCTTTATATATATATGTGTGTACACATTGTTTTGGTTCATTTTTACTTCTTCTTCTTCTTCTTCTTCTTCTTTTTTTTTTTTTTTGAACGTAACATGAGGCAATTTTGTAAGTTTACTGAGTATTTTTTACCAAAAAAAAAAAAATGGGGTTAATTATCTTTCAATATTTGATCATTGAAAACGATTTTTTTTTTTTAATTTCATGAACTAATTATCTCATTGAGATTATTTTGAATTGCAAGACCATATTGATCTTTTTATTTAACGGAAGGCTTAACAGGCTTAAAGCTACATATAAAATGCTTGGAGTAGACTTAGTGAGGGATCCTGCCCAAAATTCTTGGGAAGAGAAGACCAAAAGATAGTTATGATAAGTTAAATGATTTAATCTATTTTTATATAATTGGTTAAGTTTTCAATATGTTTTTATATTTCTAATTGTATTTATTATGTCCTTTTATGATATCTAATTATCTAATATGTTCTTTTTGTTATGTTTTTCTTTTAAAATTGACATAATTATATTTGTATTTTAAAAATATCCATGAGCTATACAAGAATATAATTTAAATTTTTTGAAAAAAATTAAAATCTTATTTTTAAAAATTTTAATGGTTTAGTAATTTTGAAACTATTTGAGATTTTTTTTTTTTTTTTTTGTATCCTTATATAATTAACTCAAGAATAATTGTTCAATGAAAAATACAATTTTATCAATTTAGATGGAAAACTTTATTGAAGAACATATTAAAAAGTTGTCCAATTATATAAATATAAATTGAGATATTTACTCTTATTCAAATATAGATTAATTTTATATCTAAATTAATCATTTTATTGTAAAATTGTATTTTTTTTTCTTGGATCTATTTTGGCTTGTCAAAGCTTTCATGGAACCGAATTTGATCTCTAATAATTGTAAATTTTTTTAATATTTTAGAAGAAAAATGGGGTAATAGAATTTCCAAGAGTTGCTTGATCGGGTAACGCAAATTTTTGCTAACGAAAAAAATAATTGGTGTTTGGTAAAAAGGAAAAAAAAATCTGATAGCAATCCGAAATGATAAGTTTTCATTTGAATTACACAAATGCTCCCACTGCAATATATCTCAAAGGAAAGTCATGGACTTCAAGGCTGTTAATAGCAATGGGCCTCATGGTAATAGAAATGGTCCTCCAAGCCCATGAGGCCATGACAAAAAGTTTGTGCATCAAAACAATACTACTACTTGAATTAAGAATGAAAGGTTTAGAATAAAAATAAATATTTTATTTCATAATTGGTCTCTGTATAATTTTAATTTTTTAATTGAGACCCTCTATTGTTTTTCATTTTGATTGAAATCTTCTATTTTTATAAATTTGTTGATTAAGACCTTTCGTTATAACGTCATTAACTATTTATCATATATGACAAGTTAAAATTAATGATAATAAATAAGACAACGAAATGTGACAAATTTTTTTATCCACATTTTCATGTGTAAGTTCCCGATTGGCACGAGAAATGAATAGTTAACAACGTTATAACGGAGAGTCTCAATCAATAAATTTATAAGAGTAGAAAATTTCAATCAAGCTCGAAAAACAATAAAGGGTCTCAATCAAAAAAATTAAAACTCGTATAGAGATCAATTATAGAGTAAAACCTAAAAATAAATTATTTAAAATAAAAAATAAAGACATTTTAATTCTAGTAATTTGTTTGGAATATTAATTAAAATTGAAAATTTATGAAATTTGATTTTTAATACTACAAGCAATAATGATTAAAAAAGAATGAGTTCATTGATGGTGGTGGTAGTAAAAATGATAGAAGTGATTGTGATGATAGGGATGGTGATGTTGGTAGTGTTGGAAGAAAATAAGGAAAAGATAATGGTAGTTATAATGGTATAATAATAATAATAACAAGATATTTTTTAAAAATATAATGTCACCGATATGAAAAGTGACTCGTAGAAAAATAGTAATTGTAGAATAATAATAATAATATCTTTAAAAAAAATTATTTTCACCACCATAAATGATGACAATGGCGGTAGTGGTAAAGACTATTATAGTGATAGAAGTAATTTATATACAATATATTTAACTAATATATTATTCTTTTGGAAAAAAAGAAGAGGAAAGAAATTCTTGTTTTCATTCTTTGTTTTTATTCCTATATCTCCAATATAAATGAAATTATGTTTAATTTATATTCTTTACTCTTATTTTCATTTTATTTTTTAATCAAACACTTACAAAATAAGTGTCGTTATCCAACGTTCGTGGGACTCCCAAAATTTTTATTTATTTAAAAATTTTGTGTGTTTTGGGGGATGTGAGTAATTTGTTGATTTCGGAGTCGTCACCTAGTATTTAAGGAACTAGGAACCTAAAATTGGTACCGATACAAAGATTATATAGTAAATAGTTGGTTACATATTTGAAAATATATCAATCACCCAAAAACGCCATTATTAAGAAAGGTATCATGTCTAACCTAGTCCTAAATTTTATCTCCAAAAAACTTCTATTTTTGTCAAAATTAATCCTAGTCAAAATTTCAAATTTTATTTTTTATTTCAAATTAAGTTTTTTATTTTTGTTTGTGGCATCATATTAAATTGATCATCGGACCCCTTCCTCGGGTGTCACCTTAGTTCAATATCGAATCCGATTTAAGTCATGACATAACGGATATGTTGGAGAATAATCTAATCACTAAATTATGATTGCTTTTGATTAACATCAATCGCTATTAAGTAAGAGACTTTGTTAATTTTCTACCTAATGTTTTTCCATATTTCTTTCTTCTTTTTTTCTTTTTAATTTTTAGTTCTATTTTTCTAACATTTTCTTTCATTTTTCCTTCTCCTTTTTTTTTTAGCTATTATATTTTTCATCATTTTTTTAAAATCTTTTTTTTATTTCCCCTTTTTTTTAGCATTTTTTCTTTCTCTTTTTTTTTTTTAATTTTTCCTCGTATTATTTTTAATTTTTCTTTTGTTCATTCTTTTTTTTTTTTTTTGTTAGTGGGGAATCATCAACGAGTCCCAAAAAATTACAAGACTTGATAATTCGTCTACCTATTAGTTACCTAATTTAATTATAAGTAAATCCCAAACTTAAACATTAACTAATATAAATTCAAGAAAATCCAAAATACTAAATCTAAATTAAGCATAAAATAAAAATACATAAATAAAAGACATTTAAGGTCAATTTATCTATGAAAAAAAAAAAAGACTGAAATTAAGGCATTGGGCTTTTTGAGATTAGTAAGCCCTCGGCCATTGGATCATTCATTCAATCATTACAAGCAGGATAACAACATGCAAACGGATGTATATATGTAGAACCATTCCTATTTTGGTGAAGGAATTCTAAATTACATGCAAACTTGGAAGGATGTGACGTATGACAATATGGCAACATACATCCATTCCCGTCCACTAGACTTTGACAGTTGTCGCAGTCTGTGGGCATCAATCCCAACGAGGACCATGACAGGTTATTGGTTTCTGAAAATTTCATTGGATAATCTTGTACGGAGGCCACATCCCACATCGTGACATTTTGTGACATTTCTAAAACATGGTATATTCAAGTCTTTTTCTATCCATTTTTTGTTTTTTAGTAATTGAAGATAGCTATCAAATTCAAGCAGCAAAAACTTCATCGGGTGAATCAAATAGTAAGTAGCCGAGCACGTTCAGGCAATTGTGGAGAGAGTCCACATGCCATAATCTGACAGTTTTGTCGCATTTCTTGAAAAACGAATAAAAAATTAATTATTTAATTTATTTTTTTATGAATATATTTACTATTTTTATATAATATTTAAATTTTTCATTTGTATGTAAAT